AGTTAAACCAGGTGGAAAAAAACAGCACTGACAGCTTTTGTTAATTTGTATTACTTAAAAATTTGATATGATTTACATAGGCCTTGTTCTTTTGTTAAAAATAATTGGGACCAACATTTTGACATAACAGGTAAAGCCATCACCTGCAATGCTGTCATCCCTTAAATGTGCTGAGTTGAGTCCAGGTTGCTCCACTTTTGATCCAACTCTCTGTTACTGTGCCTAGGAAAGAGTGGATGGTAGACAAGTTATTAGGTCCCTGCACTCATGTGGGAGACCTGGAAGAAGCGCCTGGCTTCATCCTGGCCCAGTCCTGGCTAAGGTAATCATTTGGGGAGTGAACCAGGGGATGGTAGATTTCTGTTTCTTCATGTGTGACTCTGACTTTCAAATAAATCTTTTTAAAAGTTATCAGTCAACCATTATGTGGCAGTCTCTATGCTGGCTGCCAGGGATGTAACAGCTAATGACTAAATTGTTACCCTTGTGAAGCTTGCATTCTAAAGGACATGGAGTGGACAAAATAAACCACAACCTAGTAAATGTCATTAACTCTCAGTTCATTGGCATATCAACTTGATGGGACAATATTATTCCACTGATTGTTCCTTTACTATTATATTTAACTTTTTAACTGGAATATTGGAACAATGATATATATATATTTCAGTCTCATCCTGTAACTTTTCAGCTACTTTCATATATTGAGTCTCATGCTGATTCTAACACTTTTGTTTTCTCTAGTTCCTATATGATTCAGATGGTATCTCTTCGGATGAGATGTCTGGCTCTAGTTGCTAGGAGTTAGAAGGGTGCGTGGTTGGTTTTCTTTTATATATAGCATGTTAATCTTCCCTCTTCTATCACTGAGCATTCTTTGGTGTTATATTGGGAGGGAAATGTTTAAGCAATCAGAGGGAAAAGGCAGGTGCTTGAGACTGTGTATTTTTCCTTGGTTGGCCATAATTGCTTTTCTATTTGCTTATGGGATTTATGTAAGCAAATAGTTTTTATAACAGCATGTTGCTGAAAGGCTTCCCAAACATCTGGACATTGGGAAACACTTGCAAGATTTTGTTACATGGTTTTGTTAGATTCTTAGCTGCTTCCATCATATGGCTTTACTCTCACATGCATTCATATAGACTCAAATTACAAAACCTTTGGCAGTGTCATTTATAAAATGCGTCTTGGTATATACCCAATATGTCTTCTATGGCTTTTTGAGTACAGGAAGTTTGTGTTCTGTGGGTTGGTCTTAATTAGTTCGACCTCTATTGTCATGTGGAAAAATAGCAGCACACCATCTCTTCCCGGAGTTATTGATCTCTCCAGTGGTGTGGAAGAAGTCCAGCATGTCTCATGGAAAGCACATGCTCTTATTGGATAGGAAAACTATGTTGTACTTATCTAAAGGTGATCTTTTCCTTCCATTTTATTTGTGAGTGGAGATGGTGGGGTGAAAAGTTGATTTCTTGATTTGGTAGCTCCATGCATCCAAGTAGAACTTTTCTGAATTTAGGATATCAAGTGGGTGTTATGCTGAGAACCTGATACCTAATTTTTACATTCTGGTTAAGGTTCTGTACCTTTAGGTACATATCAGTTCCTGAACAAATATTTATACAGAATTCTGGATTTTTCAGTATTGTCAGAAGGGTGTTCTTTCTTCCCACTTAGGTTTTCTTCCATTAATTATTACAGATATTGGTATTGTTTCATCCTCATTCATTGTTTTTTAATCTTTCATTTATGATGAGCTTAATGTAACTCTCTGGTGTTTCTATTCTTTAAAAGACTGAGTTGACTATGTAAACATCATCTAGAAAAATAAAATAGAAATGAAAACCAAAAAAAGTGAGTTACTTGAAAGGCAGCTTTATTGATTGGCTCAGCTTCCATGTGCTAGTTTACTCCTCCCCCCGACCCCTGCCCAATGACTACAAGGGCCAGAACTGAATCAAGCCATTGCCAGAAGCCAGGAACAATGTCTGAGTCTAACCCATGAGCATTAGGGACATTTAGGCCACCCTGTACTGCCTTCCAGGTCTATTTGCAGGGAGCTGGATCAGAAGAGGTGTAGCCAAAACTGGAACTGGCATTTCAATATTTGATATCCAAGAAGAGACTTTTTTTTAAATTAATTATGTTGCATTATGTGACAGTTTCCTAGGCTCTGGTATTCCCCAACCCCTCCTCTTGCCCTCCCCCCATAGTGGATTCCTCCACCTTGTTGCACTATTGTAGTTCAAGTTCAGTCAAGATTCTTTCTTTGCATACCTATATCAAACATAGAGTCCAGCATCTTACTGTCCAGATAAATTCAACAGTTTCTTGGAGAGACCATCTCTGGTCTGAAGGCAGAGCTGGCAGAATATCATCCTGATCAATTAAAAGCCCAAACATAACATCAACATTTTCTAACATTATGGCATTAATTTACATGGTGTTGAGTAACCAATATGCTAAAAAATGCAGGTTCTTAACCACATCCTGTGACTACTTCATTGACATTTCAATTTCAGTTTATATATAGAACTGGCTGCTGTGCACCTTTAAATGGCAATAGAGTACTATTCAGCTGTCTTGTGTCCATTTTCATTCTAGTATTTAGCAGTTTATAGTGTTGGAGTATAATTTTGCTGAACCTGGCAGTTTTTAGGGTGGTTTAAACTGGCTTATAACTCTAACAAGGCATATGTCAACGGTTTGGGTGCAGAACAGTTTTAGGAGGGGTGTGCAGAGAAATCTTCAATACCCCAGTGAGGAGTAGCACTAATCATTTGTGTCTTACCTAGTAAGGTATATGTGAATCCACGCTGACTGTTTCCTGTGTGGTTCTAAGCTTTTCTTGTTGTTCCCCTCTATCTGTTGTAGTTTTTTTTTTGGGGGGGGGGGACTTCGGAGCAACCCTGATGGTCATTGCAAGAGAGGGTGGGGACCCAAAGTTGGAACTAAGTAAGGACCAGAGAAAGCTCCTTTCTAGTCCCGAAGGAAGTTTACTCTTCTGTTTCTGGGGACTGCTCAGGGATCCTGGCTGTTGTTCCAATGCCCTTGGATCCTGGGAGGAAGGATTTGGGCTTCTTCCATCCCATGTGGTAGATCCGAATGAGAGTAGATGACCTCAGAGTTCTCGGCCTCTGAAGACACTCCAGTTATGGCATTTGGGATGTAGTCCTTGGTGCTCATACTGATAGTCCTTGGTGAGGATCCGGGAGTCTTCAGGGTTGGGATACAAGCCGCCTCCTGTCCATCTGCTCCACTCTGGGGCGCCCCTGCTCTGAGCACATGACCTCCTGTTAAGAGGTTGTCAGCATTGCTCTTGGTCCCCCCTCCCCCGCCCCATATGTCTTTATAGTTTTACTATTGTCTAATGCTGATCCAAGTCTGTTGTCAGAGTTACCTGTTCTCTTCCCACTAGCTTATACCTCATGTGTTGCTCACACCTTCTGAGGAGATGGAAGATTTCTCTGCTCTCCTGCCCCCTTTCTGAGTAGCTTAGGGTCTTAAAAGTATATTAGGATTTACAATTCTTTGATGTAGATCCTAAGCAGTCTGACTCACATTGATTGTACGTTCATTGGTTACATCAGAATATCTTATTGCATGAGCTACAGGCTGTTTGGGGTTGGAATAATGCTACAGTTTGCAGGTACTGTTTTTCAGATTGACATCATTTCATCTTTAAATTAAGGCAAACATGTGGTATCTAACCTTTTGGGGTTGGCTCACTTCCCTTAGCATAATGGTTTCCAGTTGGGCCCATTTGGCCACAAAAAACTGCATTTCTTTTTTTTTTTTTTTTTTAATAGCTGAGTAATGTTCCATGGAGTAAATGAAAAATAGCTTTCTTATCCAGTCTTCTGTTGATGGGCATTTCATAGGCTTAATCATCTATACCGTGGTAGTTCCATTTTTCTCATTGTTAATGAGTACTAGATAAACTAGTATATAGAAAAAAAATTACTGCAAAGTCTTAACTATGGTTTTCTTTCCTCTAAATGACTATTGGTTGTGTTTTAGAGACCATCTTTACCTATTAAGGGATACTGAGTTTTAACAGTATCTCAGTCCAATTCCGGACCTTTCTAAGTTATTTTTCATTTCAAGGCAATCTAATTCCAAGAGTTTGAAGCATATCAATGTTATTTTACAATGTCAGTGTCAAAGTTGAGTAGAAATCATTCCCATAAAATGAATTAGTGAAGTACATATAAATTATAGGTCAGTGTTATATAAAGAACAAGTTTGCGCGTGACAATTAAGATTAGTTAAAAAGAAGACTTTTTTGAAAAACTGAGACATATAGCATAATAAGGAACTAAGTGTATAAAGACTGGGGTGGTTAATCCAGGTAGAAGACAAAGGCCATGAGGAGGAAATGATCTCAGTATGTTTTAGGGCCAAGTAAAATTGACTGTGGTGACTGGAGCAGAGCCAAAAAGAGGAGAGTGCTGGGAAATAGGATTAAAAGAAAAATCTTGGGGACCCATGTAACAGACCCTCAAAATTAAAAAGATGTTTATATTTTACTGTAAATCCAGCAAATAAATAAACAACCATTGCAAAGATAGAAGTGATTGACACAATTCAAGTATGAACTTTCAGATCTGTTTTCATTTCCATAATGTAAAGTGAGATGTCACCAAAATGTCATTGCTTCTATAATGAATCTTTGCGAAATACTAGATGATGAAATTGGGTAGACCTTATCTGAAATAGTTTGGACTATAATTGTTTCAGTAACTGGGGTTTAGGAAATTGAAATATAGTTTACTTGGCTGACCATCCATAATCCTGAAATCTGGAATTTGAAATTTCAAATGCTCAAATGTGTGACCCCTCAGTAATAATTTGACATATGAAAGGATTTTGATTTGAGATAATTTCAAAACTCATGTTATCGGATTAGTGAGAGTCAATCTCAAATTATTTTATCAAGGCCAAGATCTGTGGTTCTAATTTCATATACCTCTTTCCCCCTTCTTTTCCTTTTCAGTTGCCAAGGAAATTGAATGATGAGGCCACCGTTTCTTTTGGCGCTTCTGGTGTGTTCTGTAATCAGCACAAACTTAAAGCTTGTGTCAAAAAGAAACTCTGGTAAGTTCTTGGCAATTGCTCTATTTCGTCCAAACTATGTTTGTGTGTGTGTATGAGCATTCAGGGGTATCTGTGCCTTTAACTGGGAAAATCTTTCAACTGAAGCACTTGTATTCCAGCTATGCTGGAAAGTAGCCAAAATAGAAATGAAGTTTTAGCCTACTACTGAGAAAATACTGGGAAACCAGTGGAATTTTGTTAAACTTGAATGACCAGCAATACTCTTAGGAGACAATGAAATGTTAAGGGGCTGCTTTAAGTTGGTTACATGTTCTAGTGAATAAACACCCGGGAGCAAACATTTCCAAATGAAGAGAGAACAAAACTTTAAAATATACATATCCCTTTTTTCTAAATTGAGTGTGCGGCATTACAGCTGAAATGAACAGTTTTGACAAGTATCAGTGAGCTTTAGTTCTTCCTTTTTGTGCTGAAACTCTAACAGGCACAACTTGAAAACATCCATGTTTGGAAGTACTAGCTCATTGCCTGAAGAATTTCTTGCGAAGAAATACCTGTTCCCATAACATGGTGGTCTGGCAGGCAGCCATGATTATACTGAAATTTATTATAGCCAGTAGATACCCCAATCAAAGGTTAATCATTGTTTCATAACATGTGGGTATATATGTCTTTCAGTTTTGATAATATATTCCAGCTACAATTACCAACCATGTGGGGTATTTTAAGAATTTTATTGTCTGCAATAATTACAGTGAGAATTTGAGAAATGCATCATTATATGGAAATAAAAGGTTGCATTGTGGAATTTCTACTGGCTTCTAATTCAGTTGTTTCCCAGAATTAAACGTATGTGCTTCATTTTCTCATTAATTATAAAATCAAGGCAATGAAATTTATACCTACTTTTTAAAGCGATAAATTCTAGATGAGGCATATAATTTGGTTAATGTTTGTTTTCTGAAGTAAAAACCCTTGGTGATTGAAGTGACTAACAAATACTATTGATCCTCGATTGATAATAGGTAATTTTTTTTCCCCACAAAAGTGAATCATAGAACATAAAATATAGTAATGATGGTACTAAGTCCAAAGGATTTTGTAATGGTCAAGGTAGGGATATATATTGGCTTTTTCTACTCCTGTAGATTGGTTCTGTGTTTAAATGATATATACATGTCTGTATACTGCTACTTCTGTATTTAACATTTTACCTATCATCTCTTCAACTTGGTATGTCATTCACAAGGCCTTTCTTTACCTTATTCCTAGAAGTCACATTTTTCAGTTGTAATGTTGGTGCAGATTGTTTGTTTCTGAAACAAACGCTTGGAAAGATGACCTCTCAATGAATGTAATCTATTGTATCAGATTCAATTTTTCTCACTTGATTATGTCATATTGTCTATAGCAGCATCTGAAAAAAAGTTGAGATTTTTAAAAGTCATCAGTGTAATGTAAGACAAGTGAAAAAAAGCTTAACGATACTAAAGTTACTATCTATGCATTTTATCTTACATCCTGGTTTATTTATGAGGTGATGAGATCTTAAAATGTTCATGTGAAGAAGAGTATAACTGATAATACAGTTGTCATTCAAAGATCAAGTACTTAATGCTTCACTCCTTTATTTTTACTTTTCAAGTGTGTAGTTGTTGCTTATTAGTTTTTACTGTGTCCAAGTGATGTCATATTTTCAGTCATCTTTATTAAAGAAATACTTCCCAATATGTATTCCCCTTAGCCTGGAAATGCTTTTATTGACTTCAGTCTCCTTACTGCAATTCTTGTTTTTTTACTTCCCTTCCATAACATGATTGCATTAGAACAGAAGTTTTGCTGCAGGTTGGGGCAGTAGAAATGGTTTGAATGCACAGCTAGATTATTATTATTGTTGTTGTTATTTGCTCTTAGGCCCTTTGTTTCCATTTAAATGTATATATTATATATATATATATATATACAGTATATAATATATATATAATAATGTATGATATATATGCAATATTATATAGAGAGAGGGAAAGGCAAAAATTACAGTGAGTGCTGGTGTGTGTGTGTGTGATTTTATGTTTGTGCATTATCATGTAATACAAGATACCAGACACAGGAGCTACAAAACATGTCAGTTTTCAAAGCTGATCAGAATGAAAGTACTTCGAAGCAGTTCTTTTTACCTTTTCTTTTTATATAGTCCCCTCTGCTACAGATCTCTCAAGCCCTATAACTGTGCTCATATTTTATGTAAAAATATTATTATTTGTACTATTGTATTAGAGTTGCCTTAGTTGTTGAAGAACACTAAGAATGATTTGGAGTATGTGTGTGCACAATTTTATTTCATGCAGGTTGTGAAGCCCTTTGTCATTTGTCAGTTAAGATAATCTGGATTCATATTTTGTTTAACCCATGAAACTCAGAGCTTTGATTTCTCTCCCTGCTTCCCTTCCCCACAGATGGAAAAATGAAGAGTAAGTGTACCCTTAATTCATTAGTATTTGACTGCCTAGTGCAGTTGCAAACCAGTTACGATGGCTTGAACGCAGCTTGTTGTAGTAGGGGATCCCTTTCCCTGAGATTCCTGTAAGCCGTTATCTCAAGGTCTTCTCTTATGTACACCACAAGTGATGCAGGTTTCTTCTTCTGTACTCATCAAAGAACAAAATAAAATGAGAGATAAAAGTTATTTTTTTTCTTTTTGTTCATCTCTTCTGGACACATATAAAAGGAGACCTCTTGGTTTGGATTAGTATACAGTGTTTAGAAGTGATAGCATAGATTGTATGTTCCCATGCTCTATGTCATGTTTCCATATTATGTTTCTATAGGGTATAGCCTATGGGATTATATATAATTCCATGCAATGGAAGGGATTAGAACATAATAAAATATATAGCATCTGTTTTTTAAAAGTTGTAGCAGATAGGGCAAGTGTGTTTGTTTTCTTTATAAAATACCAATCATATCCTTCAGTTTTTTTTGACTACCAAAATATCTGAATTAGCAAGAAAAATGCAGCCTTTAATGGTTAGGAGGATGTGAAGACCTGCTGACGCTCAGTGGGTACTTATAGATACATTTTGGATGTACTTGAACAGAACCAGTCAATTCCATGTAATGAAAAGATGACCTTATTTGAGACTCAGCCATCTTGTTTTATAATATTATGGGATTTTTGGCTTGTTGATGAGTAGGTAGCAATTTATTCCCACTTGAAATGAATTGGTTTTAGAATTTGTGGCTAGATAATTGAGGAAGATCATAAAGGTATAGATACTGGTGGTGTGAGCCTGTATTTCTAGTAAAAAGCTAGAACCACTTAGAAATATAAGCAGAGTGACTTTGGAATTGATTTACCGATAATTAAAATAAAGCATCATGCTTTTACATCTTCAAAAGGAGAAAATTTGTTTTATTTTGAGCTGTCAAGTTCAAAGTAATGCTGCTCTAAGGACGTTCAACGTGTGACTAGCCATGGAGTGCAAGAGCACTAGAGTAGAAGTTAGAAGATCAGCAAAGAGCTATTGGAATTTTATCTCATAAATGGATTTTGGCAAGATAAGGTCAAGTAGGAAAATCTTTCCCCATGCCCTGTTCTTTAATTCAAAGGGATAGTCTGAGATTTTATATGGGATGCTTTCATCTCTAATTAGGGTGACTTCTCTAGAGGAAACTGAATTTTTGTAGGAAGTGAAAATAGAGTAACTGGCCAGACTACTGAGAGTCATTGAAGACAACACTGAGAGTGTTTGTTCTAAACTTTTTCTTACAATCAGTACACAGAAGTAAAAAGGAATGTGTCAGAAAGAACTACTGACCATTATTGAGTTGAGGGAGATACATTTATTGAAGAAGTTGAAAAATAGTTTTAGGGTTTTAGTCACTGAATTGTATAAATGTATAGCTTAGTGAATGCTTACTATATATGCAGCATTACTCTATTCTTAAACAAGGGAGTTTTCACTTTCCTTTCTCCTACCCCCATCACAGGATTAATTCCATGCACAAGTGAATTCTTAATCAAATCACGCTATCCTAATGGACTGCTATATAACAATCAAAATGGCCAGTATTTGTACTGTGTTTTCTGTATATATAAAGGGAAATGAATATATTGTGTTGGTATCTCATGGGGAATGATTCCAAAATCCTCTGTGGATACCAAAAGCTTCTTCTGTTGAAATCTCTTACAAAAATGGTGTGGCATTTGCTTGTGATGTCTGCATACCATCCTGAACACTTTAAATCGTCTCTAGTTATAATGCAGAATAGTATGTAAATAATATGTAAATGGATATACACTGTATTTGAGGAATAATAGAGAACTGTGTTCATATTGCATACAGATGCAACCATCATAGGCTTAATTGGATGCTTTATGAAATACTTAAGGTCTGGCTGGTTGGTTGAATAGATACAGGACTTGTGGATACAGAGAGCTGATTGTATCAAATATCAGGCAAGAAAAAGCAGCACTGATGTTAATGTATGCATTCATGGGCTTGTGTTGTGGGATAGTGGGTCAAACTACTGCCATTAATGTGGGCATCCCATATGACCAACCAGTTGACTCCTGGCTGCTCTAATTGTGATCCAGCTGTTTGCTAACGCACCCAGGAAATCAGCAGAAAGTGGTCCCAAGTGTTTGGATCCCTGCACCCACATTTGAGACCCAGATGGACATCCTAGCTTTGGTCTGGCCTACTTCTCTCTGTTGTGATCATTTGGGAAGTAATTCAGCGAATGAAAAATCCTTCTTTTTCTTTCCCTCTTTTCCTTCCTTTCTCCATCTTTCTGTAACGTTGACTTCCAAATATCTTAAAAGCATGCATATCTAATAAATAAAAAGAATGTAGAATTAGATTTAACATTTACAGTTGATTTTTTTTCCCCATTGAGTTGCCTAAACATGTGATTATAACGAAGATCTAGTTAAGCCTTCCTGCTAAGATTATTTCCTTCTATTTAACAAATGAAATGCTTGAAGTATAACAAGAGACTGATTCAAAGTTACATTGGCAAAGGAAAGGCTTCCAAAG